AATTGCAGAAAAGGCTGTAAATGGGACCAACCTGCGGAAAAGTCAGACTGTCAAATACGGCTTGGGGGAATGCTGTCAAGTTATACGGGGCTACAGTCTGAATATTCTAGCTGAATTATGCTGTTATTTGGAAGATCATGTATAAAGTCACCAGCAGTTGGATAAAACCAGTTGCTAGAATATAAAAATGTTCTTCTCTTAGCAAAATATATGTGTGCATGCAGTGGGAATCGTTTCCCTGCGCCCCCGACTGGCCAGGAGGATAATCAATTTCTAACTGCACTGCGTTAGACTTCAGAAATTGTACCCATTAACTTATCCGAACACTGCCTCTAACCCAAACCTCAACCCTAGCCCAAAATTGGGCCAAATCTAACCTTACGTTAACTTGAACTCTATACTTGACATAAATCCTAATTTTTCTGCAACTTAACGCAAAACTGTCTGTACTACTGGCGCTCCTAGTCTTCTGTCCTGCCGGAGAGCGGGAGCACAAAAAATGATCCCTACGAAGCCAGTGCACAACAGGTTAATTGGCAAAAACAAAGTAATTGCTAAAAATTCTAAACCCCGTTGGCAGTTTTAAAACGGTCAATACCTTCTATTTTAAGAATAGAAAAACTATTAAAGTGCTAACTATTTGAACCAAATCTGCTTTCTTCGCAGAAGCAACGAGCGTGGACAAAAGAGTACTCCGAAAACTCTTTCATTCCGAGGGCACTGGAAGAAACAACCGAGCCTAGCCACTTTGTCAAACTAATAATCTACAGGAATTGCTTTTGACTAAAAAATGCAGATTTTGCCTTCGCAGCCTTAATGAATAAACTAATTTATTTGGCGATCTTATTCACACGCGACGCCACATGGACTGACAATAACAGTGGTATTATCTGCGCAGTTGTCCGGTGGCCGGACGCAAATTTAACACCATTAAGACCATGGAGGGTCTCTCCAAGAACCCAACCAATGGTATCCTTAAAGAGCAAAAATGGCAGTACAACCCCATTAATGCCAGGGGACAACTAACTGTGAAATAAAACTACTTCAGACTTCGACTGAGTTGAACGTTTCAGATATACAGGTAAACTGTACAAGATTGTGTACATAAATGGATCGCAGAAATCAGTTCGACGGGAAACAATAATAATTTGATTATGGCATTCATATCAGGTATAAAACTAGTAGAAAAGGGGTCTTGCGTCTAGAACAAGTATGTAGCTGACCGGATCCTTTAACATGCCCCGGCAAACTACAAGTGTGTTATAGCAATTCTTGGCTGTGAACCGCGGATCTGCACTACGCTAATGAGTGGTGAGCATGGAATACATGGATGGCTATTTCTCCAGTATACCCGTGACGGCAGTCGAAATGGGCTTGAAATATTTTTTAAAAATCTAAGCTTCGTATGAACACCCAGTTAGGGTGGACAGCGAAAATATTGAATCAGTGGAAAGTCTGTTAATGCGAGTTAAACCATCTGCTCACCAGGTAAGACCGAGACAATGCGCGTAGTCTTTGCCTGACGTAGCCAAAACTTCTAGAATCAGTGTGAGATCATTCGGAAGCCCCAGATGCGAGTATACGAGCTTTCATACAGAAGGTTGGTCTATACGGAAATGTGGCGTCTGTGGGCTTAGACGCAACTCACCGGAAAATATGCGCTTAGTGGCACTTTCACTCTATTTTCCGAAGTTTCAATTTTATGCTGTCCTCTGTAAACGAGTCCAAAGTCAATGGGGTAAAAAACCGACTAAGTGAGCTCTCGGTAACGTGCTGCACCAATCTGATTACGAAATAATCCAGAGTGCAGGCTCGCTTAATTCCCCACCTGACTAGCAACACTGTTTAGATAGCCACTTAAAAAGTAGGTTACAGCAGACCAAGCATAGCTTTGCTTCTGTCGTCTTCTTATCATGGGACTGGATCTTCTTAGTTTTGGAGTCAGTAGACAGGCGACTGTACTGCAGAGAAACCATTCGTAACGAGGTCTGCCTGCCAAATGGATGCATCTGAATAATTCAGCAATTTGATTACAGCTATAGAGTCATAAATACATGGTGGTGGTGATTGTGTTACAAAATAAGGGGGCTTGGGTAGGTATTTTGCGAAATGCTTTTTTTTTACTGTGAGGTATCCATGAGCAGACATTCGTCAAGGTGCCAGGTGGTTTTTGTAGCAGTCACGCGGGTCAGGATAAGTAGACAGACAAATAGCTTAAATTTATAGCAGCCGAATAATTACATTAAAATTTCGTCATGCAAAACACCTCCAGAATTAAAATCCTCATCGACAAGGGAACGTAACTGAAAAGAATAACAGCTAGAATCCGTGAAACGACTTAACTTGCGGTTGTGAATGCCGGTTGCAGAAGCCTGACAATACGTTGTTAATGGCTTGAAGTGTACAGTCTCAGAGTTAATCGTACTATTTCTCACAACTAAAAAGGTAACGTGGTGCAATGCCAACATCGGCAAGCGGAAAGAAGTTCCGCGGTCCAGCTTAAAAGTTACTTTTAAATTTTATAGCATTTAATATCAAACGATCGGAAGCAAAGAATGCACTAAAAGCAGACAGACTGCATCAAATGATGGAAAGGCACAAAATGGTAAATAAATAAGGATAGATAAGGACAAAAAACTTGAAGCAGAAACACATGTCGGTATGTACCGGATATCGGGGTCGGCCCACAGAGCATTCCACACGGTAGGATGAGTATAGTTAACTGGGTTATAATCATCATAGTCTACTTCCCAAGGAACCTTTGCATCAGGAACAGGGAATCTCATGACGTCAGGGTCCAGGGGATACGGGGCATTTCGGCATTTTTGGTGAAGGCGCTTTGTAGCTAGATCGAAGGCTTTGTTCAACTATGGAAGTCAGAAAATACAGATTTACATCACGACGGCTTGAGGAGTTATAAAAATTCCAAAATATGGCTATAATAACTGAAAAAATGGCAAAATAGGGACCCACGACAACTGCCTTCGAATACATCTGAAAAACGGGCAATAAATTCGAGAGACGCGGGGCCGCGCGGAACATTTAAATTACTATTAAAACTAATGAATTCTGTCTTCTTTATTAAACTTCACAGAACAGCTGGTAATTGCAAGTATATGATGAAACGCTAGGTAGTAGGAATTACTTATTG